ATTAAATTATAAAAATACGTATACCGACACAAGAATGAAAATACCAATGTGAACGTGGTGGACGAATATTTTTATACACAGTAATATGAAATTACCCACACATGTACATTGTGTAAATGACAGTAGTGTCGATGTGAGCGTTACGAACTAATTAGCGGTGCTTTGTGTACTTGCATACCCACACTCTTGAATAAACTTTGAGTGAACGCTTAGTGACCTAAGTACGCTTAGTAGGTCACTACCTACTACGGTTCTCACGAAACTTCTGAGCATTCACAACACTTCACCATCTGATTTCTGAAGGGCCTATATTTCACTAGATTATACGTACCGAGTGTTACGTAGCAGCGGCAGCCACTTTTGCTTTATACCGACCACAATTGCAGACTCCGTGCTAACTAAGAGTTTTAAGAAGCTCAAAATATTCAAAATTTTGTACGATAAATTATAATAATATATTATTATTATATTTTTGTGGTATACATTATATTATTATTACTTTTCCTGCTCCAGGTCCACAGGAAGAAATTCCAATAGGAATAGGTGGTACCTTTGTACTTTAATTTTATGTATGTCTTGTCCTTTATGTTGTATGTGTGTACATAAATAAATAAATAAATAAATATAAATTTGAAAATCTTCTAGTTGATATAGAGCTGCGACCGCTCGACCAATCAGGCTTTCTCAAGTTCTCTTTCTTTAGTTTCCATGATACATGTATCTGATCCAGGTTTTCTTCTAGAGTCACTACAATAAAGTATGTTATAATATTCTTTCAGCGTAGTAACAATGGTAGCTCAACGCCCATCGCGAAACAGATTCGAACGAATAGCGCGTCGCGTCCGTCACAGTCGCCCACTGGGCTCGATGATTTCTGTCGTTTCGGGTAAGGCTAGCCATAACATTATACCGCGACCTGTCGGGGAAAACCTAACGGGTAACCGGGGCTCCGGCTCGACGTGCAAGAGAAGGAACGGGGTGGTTTTTAGTCAGTAAGAGTCTGACACTCCCTCCCGCCTCATCCAGGCGGGAGTAGTGATTCGATGATATTCCCCCTTTAAAAAAAAAGCCATAACATTATACCGCGGCCTGGCATCGGCAGGAGTTGGAACAGGGTGGTTTTCAGTCAGTATATGTCTGAGACATGCTCCCGTCTCACGAAACGAGAGTATTCATGATTTTTCATCTCCACAAATCAAAGGAAGCTCCTGCCATTTATATCATAGCTAAGTTTTGGTGCAATAGGTAACGTTAATAAGCCGATTAGGCCATTAATAACTAATACTCAATGTTGATTAACTTGATTCACTTTAGATTAGTCTAGAATTCATTAATTGTTTATTGTTTCATCAATTAGGTACCGTGCATAAATAGATATTGTGTTTATGAAATCTAATCTTCTGAAGTTGGGTTTACTGTAAAATATATGAAATGAAACGTATGTTGAGTTTAGCTGTTACTCTAGACCTTGAGTCCTTAGTGACCAGTTCCAAGAATAATAGTTATAAAAATATACACACATACCGCCACAAGGAATCTAAGTTACAATCACATCTACGAATTCAATGAACCGTTAATAATGTTGATAGTAACATCTTAACTAGTTAGCAGGTAGTTAGTTTATCAATAACATACTCAGATATTCTCGGTAACTGCTAAGATCCTAATCTTGTTAGTATGTTTGTGACAGTATTGACTAATTAACTAAGTATTACAAGATCACATTCCTGTTAAGATAATATTATTATGTATATCCACTGGTATGTTACCTACGTGTGTGATGGTTCAAAGAACATTTTTAATATAAAATCTCTAACGTTTTTACACTAATGTAAGTATTCCCAGCAGATTCTGTGCAAAAGGTTATGACATAACCTATAATGAAATGCAATTACCAATCAAAATTAAACAATATGCGGTCATATTATAAACAGAATGACACTCGGCACTCGTTAAAATTCGCTCGATAATGGCGCGGGACCAAAGCAAGCGAATTATACGTAAATAACCTGTCAATTGTCATTACCCTTGAACCAACGTAGTTGAACGATACACACTTGTAGGATTTATATCAACACCATATGTAATATTAATTATCATCATTCTTTAAAAGTGGGTTAATTAACGTCTCCTTTATATTTAAAAGTGTGGGAAAGCCATGCTTCAAAACGAATAGGCCGGCTCGACCGGAGTGATACCACGGCCTCACAGAAAACCGACGTAAAGCAACGCTTACGTTATGTTTCGTCGTGTGATTGAGGTTACCGGAGGCCGATCACCCTCCCCTTCTCCAATCTCCCCAATCTCCCCAATCCCTGAATCCCCAAAGATCCTTAAACTCCTAATCCCTAAAACGCGCCGGTAACGCCTTCAATTTTCGCCACTTACAGTTTGATGCATGCCTTTCTTTTGATTGGGAAAACCATACAATGACTTCTCCCGCCGTGGGTGAGGCGAAAATAGTGTCAGACTCTTATTGACTAAAAACCACCCCGTCTCTATATCTGCTTTTTGAGCCGGACCCCCGGCAACCCGTTAAGTACTCAGCGCCTCGAGTTGATTTTGATTTTCGTACACAGCGGATATTCCAAAATTCTATATCTAACGATGAACTATTAAACAATAGTATTAACACCATTCTATTAAATACTAGCTGACCCGGCAAACTTTGTACGGCCAATAATACTTTTCTCACTTTATAAACCTTCCCTGGAACTCCACAAATATTTTAAGATGACATAACATAACGCCTTTTATTCCCGAACGGGTAGGCAGAGGTGCACATTATGCCACTGTACAATGTTACACCCACTTTGCACTATTTATGTTATGAATAGGGGGTGAGCCTATTGCCATATACCGGGCACAATTCCAGACTCCGTGCTACCACTGAGAATTTTTTTTAAACTCAGTAATACTTTGCCCGACCCTGGAATCGAACCTGAGGCCCTTTGCCCGGCAGTGACACTTGCGACCACTCGGCCAACGAGGCAGTCAAGACGAACAGTAGCCTAATCGGTTTAGCCATCCTCATTTTCCGGAAATTATATTTTATTGATATAGATAAGAAATGATGTTTGAATAAATATATATACTAAAAGTTATGACGATGCTGAACCAATAATACTTTACGCGAACCTTCCATATAATCAGACCTCTTTCTTGTCCCACGTGACAGACTACAATAGAAGTAATACCTCTTAATGACGCAGATACACAATACATTCATAGAAACGAATCAGGAAATCGACTGTAATACTGTAATACTGGTAATACCATTCACTTGGCAAGTTTCGCCGAAAAGTTAGGTTGATTCTTTATGGTGATGTTGCCCGAATGTAACTGTTTTTATTTGTTTTGCCCATTATTTATATTCTGATTGTAAGTGTCAATTGTCTTTATTGCTCGTATCGTAAATTTTAAGTTTAATATTTCATTTGTCTCCGATACTAATTCATCTTAGTTATTTTGAATGTTAAATCTATGTCAATGGTTGGATTTGCCTGTCTCTGATCATAGTAATTTGTAAACCATTTAGTATATAATGCTTGTTGTGCTTACCTATAATAGATTGATGCACTAGTTTTTAAGTTTTCGTAAATGTAACCCTATATTGTATAAGTGTGTAATCAATTGTTGGTGGGCCAAATCAATAAAATAAAATAAAATAAAATAAAATACCATCAAAGTAATCGGCCATTTTTTTGAGCGAGAAAATCATCCAATGACTTTCCCACTTGAGGTTAGGCGAGAGGGAGTCTTAGTTACAGAATCTTACTGACTAAAACTCACCCCATTCCTACTCCAACATAATCGGTGTAATAGTCTGAAAGTAATTGGAAGTGCTCGAGAACGCTGGCTCGAAGTTTGTTGAGTCCATTCAGATGAACATCAGCCAAGGAAGCATAAATTAGCAAGTTGACTTAGCTTCATTGGTACGAAATGAAAAGCTGATTTACAACTATGGCATTTAAAATCCAATTTATATTTTAGTCAACTTTAAAAAATCCCAAAGCACGGAGTCTGGAATTGTGCCCGGTATATGGCAATAGGCTCATCCCCTATTATATGGCACTCATAACATAAATATTGAAAAGTGGATGTTACATTATACAGTGGAGTTAAGTACCATATTGTGCACCTCTACCCAACCCCTTCAGGGATAAAAAGCGTGTTATGTTTAAGCCTCATAGTTGTAAATCAGCTTTTCATGTAATAGTACCCTAAAATAAGAATGTTTCTCAGTCAATACCTATTCACAAATACTTACTATTAAAAAAACTACAGTAATAAATAAACTTCCACGTAAACACTTACTAATTCCACGTAAATAAGCGGATTTTCTTTTCATCCGTATTTTAAAAGAACTTTTTCTACGTAAACTTTTCTTTGGTACAAAAAAAAAACGAACTGTAACTTCCATTTGTAAATAAGAACAAAGATTACCTTCGTAAACTCATCTGTTGCAGTACTTGCAAATAAATGCGAAGCTCAACTTCGCTGGGTTAAAGTTGGCAGGAATAAAAACAAAAGCGACGATCCTTTTGAAAATAAATAATGAAATGTCAAAGCTTTTTCACATTTTAATTGTAAAATGTTAACTAATTTGTACCGGAACGTTTGCATTGTACAAACTTTTATTTATTGTTACATACGGCGAAATTGCAAGTAACAGTAAACATTAGCATGAGTACCGAGGTGTTTCGCAGAATTCCGAACTCCGTAGCATAATGGTACCTAGATTAAAATCGTGTCAAAGTTTTAACTGAAAGCTAACTGGACAATGTGTATCTATGAAGTTGTTATTTTGTCTTGTTCTGTTGAGATCTGTTATGAATTTAATACGACTAATAATATTATGTTACGGCATGGACCCACGTTAAAAACATATTTGTGAGGCTCTTCGGTGACTTCCAATAACATAAACGTGCTTTTACTGAAATTGCCGAAACCGTATATATGGTTCTGTGATGCAGTCATTGATTGGATTGAGTTCAAGATTGTGGTCGAAATTCTGGTACCATCTATTTGTATTAGAAAAATAGCTATCGTCTTTTTGTACAAACTGTGGTATGGAGAAGTGGTGCTGTCTAGTATAAGGCAATTCGGCATAAAACATAAAAGAAACAGAATTTTGGCGTACCCAAATAATGTGAAAGCCTTAAATAAAACTATAACTAAATGAAGAAAAAGTCACTTACAAAATTAAAAAGATAATTATAGTATTATATCAGA